AAAAAAACGGTTATGTTGGTGTATTGATAAAATTTTAATGCATCAGTTCATATTATCGTACAAGATTTCACATTTGATGGAATCTATGCTACGGAATCAGTATACGTCTTCAACAACAAGACAGTCATTGATCCATTTATTCACATCAACCTCCTCAACGTTAACCTTTCGATCTAAGCCACCAGATTTTTTTTTCATTTTTTTGCTATCATCATTCATGAAACAGCCAATATAATTTCAACAAGAAAATTAGCAATGCAAACAAACAACTGATCGTATGCTCATCGTAGGAATTCAACGACAACTTGACTGTGCGAGAATGTTGCACTGAAACGGATTTGGATAAACCCTTAAAGAGCAGGTTAGAGATAATTTGTTAGAGTTTGATAACGAAAACAATAGGGTCTGAGGGATTCAGGAGGACAGAAATGAAGACGTCAAAAACCGGAAAAAAAATCGTAACGAAAGCACTTTTGGTACGATCATCACCTTCACCGCGAATTGCAGTTCTTTCATTACAAAAAATAAACTTTTGAGCCTTTACATATGAATCGTAATACTAATTATGATTCTCTATTATCGTATTCTTAATTCACTTACTTAATTTTACAACGTTTCCTGTAGTTCACACGTCCACATATATCACCATTTTCTGTAAGCTTTCTGCTTATTACCGCATAAATACAGTAATATTATTCATTTTCTCACTACATTTGGTGCTAGTTTGATTTTTTTAGTGATCGCGGTAACCAATTGACTTATCAAAAACGTAAACCTATCACAACATAAAATTGTTGACAGGAATGCTTAAACAACAACATTCGAGTTATTGCCTTTCACATGGCAATTGAAATGCCCCCCCCCCTCCAGCTATCATTAAATTCATAATCTTGCTTCATTCATCACCTGAACGAATACGTATCTTACGTTGACAGTACGATCAGCTGCAGTTGACAGCGTCGTATTTATTCTTCCTCTTCAACCTTCCTTCTTTTGTTTTCGTTCGTAATAAGAAATGTGCCATAATTTGATATGCATGTAAATTTCAACAGAGAATAGTGACCCAAGAATTTTGCAGTACAAACGTTTAGTTTCCCATTCTTAAAACCACCTTTCGATTACGTCAATAATTTCTCGAAACAATAATACACTGATATAACATATATTAACTCTACGTTGAGTTCCCTGCACAAAGTCTCAAATGGAGCGATGAAAATTGTCATTTTTACTTTAGCAATTTCTTTCAATGCTACTGTCTCAATTTACGACCATTTTCTTGTGTTGAATCTAACGGTTGAAGCTGACGACTTTTTGTTTCCCGCTTGCATAGACCTTTATCTCATTCGTGAATATCTATCTTCTTTCGTTTCGTAATTTCTCTTCGAATTGCATTTTGCTTAAAAATTGCATTTAAGTGATTATTTCACATAAATTACATTGAATCGACGAGTCTTTCATTTGAACAATTCAAACTGAAGTGATAGTTGAGTTATTTTCAAATGCATACGGAATTTCAGGCAAATACAAAATGTTATTCCGTAAAATGAATAACTTTCGGAGTAGATCCACTCAGTTGTCACACAGTTATCGGCTAAATATCTTCCTATCATTTTTTGTAATTGTACATTTCTTTGGATCTTTCCCAGTGAATCCCATCAGACACTTACTTCCCTATGCAGATTTATCGCCATTCAACTGACTTCGAATCACGATTACTATGGGTGGTCCTCGCATTGTAATAATCGAATTTTTCTTACTTACCAAAATTTACAGGGACAAGGAATGATTAAATTATTGAGATGGATAAACACCAAGAACTCTGTCGAAAATGACCAAACTAATCTTCAGAATGTTCATATGACACTTTTTAAAACATGTCTGTAGCATGACTGACATTTTTTCATATCAAGCGACATAGCACCTCGTTTTTGAAGTGATCATATCTTTGATATAACTGCTTTCATTATGATTGTTTTTACTTGGTTAGCATTACTGTTATAATGAATGTTATTCTCACAAATATGTTTAACGAGACTGCTGTTCGTTCGATGTTGCAGTTACGATAGGACGTGGATCTCGGGATTGGATATCAAGAGAAGGATATCTATCGAACAGAAGAGATGGAAAACGGAGAATACTCTCTGTGCGGGGGAGGCAGGCCTCTCCTCTAACAATCGATGTGATGGTGTCCTGCTGCAAACCGAATTCAATGTTGTGAATATCGATCGATAAACGCGATGTCGCGTGCGATGAGTAAAATTTCGCGTGCGGCCATCAGGCAGAAACCGAAACGACGGCTTAGGCTAAGGGCAGTGCCGTGTTCCGTCATTCTCCTCTTTGCCAGAAAATGTTCCTTCCACTTGGCATCAATTATTGTTTTGACCCTAATTCACAGTTCCAAAATAGACGTAATAGGATCGCTGATCTATCAGCTTATTTATATGCAACTGTACATTTTTGAATGATTGATTCTACTTTTGAATTTACCGCATTGTTAAATTTGGTATTACCAATGCAGTGTTAAATTAGAATATTACAAGTAGTATCTGTAACTTAAATCTCGATTGAGGCGTTTTCATTGAGTGCTCGTGCTTTGATTGGTGTATTTGAAACAGAGATCGTTTTCGGATTGCTTTGCTCGACAAGATTCTTATCTTTGTTGCTATCAGGAACGTTATTTTCTTATAATTCGACTCTTCATTTTCTTGACACTTTACCTTCACCTGTTAATTTTGACAAGATTATAAATTATCGAATTCTGGATGGACAGCATATGTTTATATATTAATGAGACTTATATACGTATACAACTCATATTATACATAAATGTATACATATATGATACGATTTTCGTATATACATTTATTTATTATTATGTAAGTACACACACACACATATATATATATATAT